GTGAGCCCAATGTCATCAAAATCTTCCTTGTTAATAAGAAGAGGCAAGAGTCGGCAAACAAGGCAAGATGATAATGGAAGCAGAGGTCAGAGAGACACCTGAAGATGCGACACTGCTGGCTTTGGTGATAGGGGAGAAGGCCACAAGTCAAAGGATGCAGGTGGCCTCTAGAATCTGGGAAAGGCAAGGAAATGGATTCCTTTAGAGGCTCTAGAAAGAACTCAGTACTGCCAACATGATTTTAGCCCTAAGACCCATTTTGGACTTCTGACTTCGAGCTGTGAAATGACAAATTTGTGTTGTTTTAAGCTGCAGAGTTTGTGGTAATTTGTTGGGAAACAAATCCACTCCCTGAGGTATGTTCAGCCAAATGTTGCATGGCAACACGCAACGAATGGAACTGTAACAACCACCTTGAGACTGTGAGAATATAGCCTTAGGAATAACTAAGACAATGCTGAGGAGGGCTGAGCTGAAGGATGGACAGTGCCTGGCTAAGGGTGACAGTCGAGCCCAGGAAACATCCGTGGAAACCCTTGCCTCTGGATTTCATGCAATACTGTAAGGTAATGAATGGTGGCATATTCTATTACTTGTGGCCAGAAAAACATCTTGTGCAATAACCCTTTCTTGCTCCCAATCAGCTTCTGACCCTTGCTTATCTGATTCAGTCACTCCTTGGAAGGGGGACATCCCAGAGTGGAGATCGCCTGTGGTCAGCAGAAAGGGCCAAGTCACCTTGGATGCAGTTTCAGAGGCACAGCCAAGGGGTTGCAGAAAATGCAAGGAGACACTCAAGGTGTCCTCTCTGGGTGGGGGAAAAAAAAAAGGTGCTTGAAACAAACCACACACCTCAATTCAAAAAAAATTGTGCCAACTGGTTTAACTATAAGTCCCACCTCCCCACACCAAAAAAGTTGTGATTATAACTTTATGCTATTGATGGCTTTGAGGTCTAAGTGTATTGGCAAAAAGACTACGTTTTTGAACCAGTAGTTTCTGGGGCATTTTTCTTTAAGATGAGTTTGAATCCAACTTGATTGCTCTTGTAAAGATCGGCAGTCAGTTCCTTCCTCACATTTTGAGGAGGAAGAGCAGTGCCAAAGGGCCAGTTTCACAAAAGCCCCCCTGTAATCAATCCTCTTTGCTCTTGTATTAGCCTCGTGATGATTTGGGATTTACAATTGGCCTTCCCTTCCTGGAACATGGTAACCATTTCCATTTATGCAAGTTGACCTGTATTTCTTTCCAGAAACTTATCTTCTTGCAGCTCTCCTGCATTTCCCAACAAATTAATCCCAGACATGGTATGTTTTTATGATTCTACTGTGAAAGGAATCTCCTTTTCAATATACTTGTTAAGGTTTTCAGAGATTTGTGTGTGTGTGTTGACTTATGTATCTTTATTTCTCATTCTGCCTTGTTTATTGCAATCTCACTGTGATTTTTTAAAATTTCCAATGGGTTTTTTTTAAGTGCACTAATGTTATCTGTAAATAAATGCATTTTTATATTTTCCTTTTCAGTAGTTATAGCATTTAGGTCTGTTTTATATCTTATTTGTGGTAACAAGAACATCCAGAAATTTTAAAATTAAGATTGCTCAAGGCAGATATCCTTCTTTTGTTTTGGGTGTGTATATCCATCCATGGTTGTTGGACAGAGGAATGAATAAACAAGAGAGAGACTGAAGAAGAAAGATGGAAGTTGATTTTCATCACAGAGGAAAAGGTCGAATTCCTAAGGCTAAGAAAAATGTTGAAATAGGTTGTATTCAAGACCAACAGTAAGTGTACGGCTGGCTTGTCCCTGGCCTAAGCACCAGTGGCCAAAGGATGATACAAACAACTTACAGGTAAAATGATGAATAATTTATTCCTGCTTTTCCAACCTGAAGTTCTCAAGCTCTGAGGAGTTCTGAGAAGTGTCCACTAGGCTAACATTTTAAAGACAGGTATATCTTTCTTATTTTTCCTTTTTTTTAAATGACTTTTAAACATGTGTTCTCCTTCACATGGTACAATCTAAGATGCTCTGTGTGATGAAACAAGAAGAGAGAATGGTGAGTGATCAAATTGCAGGCCAAGATTCAGTCACATCGTCAGTTTATGACTCAATTGAATGCCACAGGTGGCCACAGTCGTGACCAATATATAGTTTTATATCTCATTTGCAGTTATTTGTTGTTTAAATTAAATGAATAGTGGACTATTGATTAAAGAAAGCATATGGAAGAATGTTAATATATTTCAACAATTCAATATCTCAATAAACACATGCTTGACTATGTGGAGCATAGTAAGAGACGAAAAGTACAAATTAAACTTAGCAATTGAGTGAAACAACTATTATTAATAGTGTAGCCATTTTAATATATGATCTGCAATGCCTTTCTTACAATTCTAAATTCCAAAAAACTATTCTAATGAAAAGTTTCTTCCTGTATTTTGTATCAGCAAAATTTACGTGCACTAACAAGGCTATCTATACTTTGTTTCTCTCTAACCTAGTGTGATTCTTCATATTTTTTGCTGCTGATATACTAAAGTGTTTGATGGCCAGAAGCTACCTCAGACCTGTTGGGAATGTTACATAATGTGTAGTGTATGTACCTTCCTATCTGCTAAAATCTAAACACTTGTGAATTTCAAAATACTTCTGGCCCTGAAGGTTTTGAACAAGAGTTTGGGACCCTGTATGCAAACAGGATACATAACATTTTTGACATCTTATATGCATGATAGTAACATTTGTTCAAAAATGCTTTTCTTACATAATCAAATTATGGTAAATTAAATAGCATGATTAATTTGCTAAATGGGATAAAACATGCCATTTATTACTAAAAGTTGTATTAAATATACTGATTTCAAGTCACCTTTTAGCCTGAAATCATTTCTTATTCCATACCATATAAACAGAAAGAAATAAGTGAAAGAAACTCCCAGGGGGCTTGCTTCCGTAACATGTTAGAAGCCTCCATCAAATTTGACAGTGAAGCATCTCCAGTCATATCCAAAACAAAACAATAACAACATGAATAATTAACATGGCTCTGTCATCCTACCTAGGTGCTATATAACATCAATTATTTTAAAAGTCAAAATACAGAAAATGAAGAAGCCAAATTGGAATGGGAATGGTGTTTTATCGATAATAACCAAAAAAAAAAAACCAAGGAAATGCTGTTAGAATAAAATATCTGCATGGTTTCTGAGTAAATACTAATGTACAAAAGTCAACAGACTTACTGGCTAATTGCAGTAAGTAAGATGAACAGTGTACAGTCTGAAGGTGGATGCTTTCCACAGTGGCCATAAAACCTAACAACTCCTGGAACAAGTTTAGCAGGAGGTGGACAAGATGACTGACCCAAAGGGAGGCATAGGGCATCTGAGAACTGCTAGAAACCCCAAGGAAGAGGAGAGTACATCAGGCCCGGGGCCTGACGAGCACAGGAGAGCCCCAAGCATCAAGGAGGAGAGAGAACATCAGAGCCTGGGCCCTGGGACCTGAGAAAGATGAGAGAACACTAGATGCTGGCGTCTGAAGAAAACACGAGAGGAAGAGCACATACCACATCCTGAGCAGTGATAGACTTCTTCCATTTCCTAGACACGGACACATTGGCTCACAGAGGGCACTGGGTAGAGGATCCAGCCCACTGCTCTTCTCTGACAAAGATTCTTTGCTTAACCAAACTTTTGTCAGGTTCCCCTGAACCCTGACCCTAACAAGGCCAATCCTTGTACTTCCTTGAGGAATCCACTTTTAGCAAGAATGCTGCAGTCTGTTGATTAAGAATTCCCTACCCATGACATCTAACCAAACTCCTCATCCCTACTATCTCCCCCAGGTGATATCCTTAGCCTGCCTTTAGCAGGAATCCTATTACGAGGGTTCAGGCAGAATCCCCCCTGCCCCCCGCCCCCAAGGAGATTTGATGTCTCCTCTTTGTAATTTTCTATCCACCAACACACCCCCTACTTCCAATTCAACTTGCTCCTTGTCTATAAAACCCCACTTGTTCTGTCTGTATCAAACACTGAACCCAGTTCGAGACTGGAGTCTCTCTTCCCCTACTGAAGTATTTTTATTGAATAAAATCTGTTTTCACCGTTTTAAGTTCTGTCCAGCTCTGGTTTATCTTTGACAACCACATTCCCAACCCCGGTGCCTAGGATACAATTAACACTGCCCTTCTTCCCACAGCCCGACAGGACACTAAAGCCAGTACCTCCGCCGCTCCCTGGGATTGGCGGACACACTTCAGGGCAAGCCGGCCCCATTCCCTCCCACGACCTTGAGCTGATTTTAGTCAGGCCCCTACACACTTTTTGCCCTCCACATCCCGCCCCTTCTTCCTCTTCATTAGATACGGTTGCACTTTTAGCACCACCACTCACACACACACTTACGTCTATCCCGTCACTCACTCTTCCAAAAACTTAGGAGCACTTTAGCCGCGCCCCTCCATAATTCCTGCCCGCCCCTACTCCAATCCCAGGAACTTGGTGGACATTAACTCCGCCTCCCATAGTCTCCCCCATAGCCTGCCCGCCCCTCCATGTTCCCGCCCCCCCTCCACACTAAGAGCACCAGTTGGCCCCGCCCTCAACACTTCCGGCCATGATCGAGCTGCTTCTTCCCCCAAGGATGTAATAATCAGTCCCATCCCCCCAACTAACTCTAATCCACTCAGCACTTCCGGCCCGCCCTTCTCCTCGCTCCTTCCCTTTCTCCAACTTCCGGTTTGCCCTACGGGCGGACGCCCTCCTTGGTGGGCACGACTGTCTCCGTGCCTTCGTCGCCGCTCACGGAGGTGTTGGGGCCCCACAGCCTGGAGTGCTCTACCCGAGGGCTCCGCCTGACTAGCTGGACCGCCAAGGGATGCGGGCGAGGGCCCTTTTCCTGGCCGCCCTGGCTTCGCCTGCCACCCGAAGCTGTATGGACAAGATGGCCGCCGCCTGGGAGCGGTCTGGCGCGGCGCGCCGCGGGGGTGTCTGGGAGTTGTAGTCCGGTCCGGCGCGCTGACGCATTTAGTCGCGGGCCTACGGTCGCCATTGTACGCCGCGCGCGAGGGTGAGTGCGGCGCGAAACCCGCGCCCGTCGCATGCGGTATGGAGCAGGCCTTGCCTGCTGTCTTCCCGCTGCGGGGTCAGAAGGGGAGGTGTGGTCGGGGACTAGGGGCCCAGGGGAAAGACAATTCCCTCCGGGCGTGGGACGTAGGCTTGGGGCGGGCCGATCCTCCCGGGCGTGTGCGGACTGAGGACGGGAGTCGAATCCCTATGGGTGATGAAGATGGGTGGGGGTCTCCTGTCCTTCAGGTGTCTGGGAGTAGGTGGAGACGACTCAGGGCGTTTTCCGAGGTGGGGGTGGACTTGTTATTCCCAGTTGATGGGGCCTCTTCTGGACAAAGGAGGGGGCCTCTCGGCGTAGCCCTCACGCCTCTTCCACCTCCCAAATTCAATCTTCTCAGGACTCTGCCCACCCCCCACGAGACACGTCGAGGAGGAAGGTATGGCTTCCGGGCTTCCGACGGCCTGGTTCCGTGTGAGTAGAGGCTTCTTTGAGTTTCTGAGTGTACCCCTGGGTCTGGGGGTGGGGGTGGCAGCAAGGTGATAGGACGCCACCCTCCCTGAGATGCCCCCACGACCCCAGAACACCTCGGGGAAAGGAGAGGAACTGGCTGAACATTAAGAGACCCTAATGGATGGAGGAACCATCGGCTGCTTAGTCTTTCAAGGAAGTGGTTAGTGTAGAGGTCAGTTTATGGGGGGGGAGGTGTTCTAACTTACTTTTTAAACTGGGGGTAGGCATTGACAGATCTAAGCAGGGATCAGACGCGTTTAGATTTCAACAGTTAATTTGCCATCAAAGCTAAAGGTGACATAAACTCAGTCACTAGGAGAAAAGGAGGATGGACAGGTAAAGGAAGTAGAAGCAGCTTGGGCAGTGAGTAGGGGCTGAGGGTTTGGGTGTGATTCAGCTCATGAATCTCCTAGTGGGAGGCATACACACTGACATTAGGGTTAGAATCCCCAGGTTAATAAGAGGTTTTCAGAAAATGAATCCTCTTTAGCCTCCTGGTGTCCTCCTTTCTGTAACCTGATAGAGTCAAGCTTGGGTTTGCTCAGTTTCAGTTAAATGGAGGAACACATGATGGGACACCAGGAATGCTCTCAGATCATCCTGTAGACTGTGCCTTCATGTGCTCAGTCAGCTCCCTACTCATGTCAGCGTGGTTGACAACAGGCCTTGGCTGAACAGCAACCTATGGGTTTTAGGAACCAGTGACCTTTGAAGATGTGACCCTGGGTTTTACCCCGGAAGAGTGGGGACTGCTGGACCTTGAACACAAGTCCCTGTACAGGGAGGTGATGCTGGAGAACTACAGGAACCTGGTCTCAGTGGGTAAGGCTGGCCTCTATGTCAATAAAGATCTGCGCTTTGCAGCACGAATGTGGTGTCACCGAAGTATGTGTGTGCTTGGGCTTGGGCTGCAGCGATCAGAGTGCAAGTGATGCTTGGGAGAAAGGGCTTTACTTTGTAACCATGGAAAAAGGGCAACTTCACATACAACTTCTGAAGCTTCACCTAGTCCACCCCCAGAGGCTTTGAATACCAGGGAGGTGGATTTGCCAGGGGTGTTTTCAGCTGCAGTAGTGTATGCTTACCATTTTTTGTAACGAGCTCCAGAGGACCTGCTGTTTGTCTGACAGCTCAAGGGTGTCATCAAGACCCTGATCCATTCCATCTCTCTGTGGTTAGTGTGAACTTTTCTATTCTTAGATTAGTAGCTGTGTTATTGTAGCACCTAGCATCATGTCTGTGTTAAAAGCAGAAAGAAATCGGGAGGGTACAGCCATGGCTAGGGCTCTTCACAGCCATGAAAGAGCAAGAAAGAAAAAGCCTTAAGGCCCCCACTGACAGACTTTCCCTTTGTGTCTTGCTGGCCAGAATTGGGTCCCACTGCCACCTTTACCAGCAAGGGAGTCCAGGAAACCAGGCAGCTGACAAAGGGGATACCCTAGACCAGAAGTCATGCCCTAGCAGGGGACAGCATGTGCCGCAGCAGGAAAGCATTTTTTCCCCGAACACAGACCCCCAAGCCCTGTCTCTTTTCCCTTGGGCAGAACATCAGCTTTCCAAGCCAGATGTGGTGTCTCAGTTAGAGGAGGAGGAAGAGCTCTGGTCGGTGGAAAGAGGAATTCTTCAAGACACCTTTTCAGGTGAGAACCAGGCACGTGGGAGTCTTGGTAGGGAATGGGCTAATTGGTTAGTCTAGGACTGGTGTCTTACAAAGAAGGTGGACAGGACAGAGCCCAGGTGGGGTGCTGTGATGAGTGGTTGCAGACATGGTTGAGTCAAGCGCTGTATTTTTCTCTGGCCTCAGAGCCAGGTATACTGCTTTGTTGAACGTGAACCTGTTTCCAGTGGCAGGTTGACAATAGGGACTCCCCCACTTTGCTCCATTCATTGTCTACTGCCCTCTTCTCATGTAATCACCAGTAACTGGTGTCTCTAGCCAGACTTTTTTTTATATACATTTACATATATGTATATGAATACAGGCTCCCCCCGACTTAACAATGTTTTGACTTTATAGTGGTGCAAAAGCAATATTCATGCAACCATTCTGTTTTTCACTTTCAGTAAATTATATGAGATATCAACACTTTATTATCAAGTAGGCTTTGTATGAGATGATTTTGCCCAGTTGTAGGCTAATGTAAGTGTTCTGAGCATGTTTAAGGTCTTCTAGGCTAAGCTCTGATGGTTGGTAGGTTAGGTGTATTAAATGTATTTTTACTTCATGATATTTTCAATTTATGATGAGTTTATCAGTTTTAACCCCATAAGTCAGTTTAGTTCACGTTTTTATGGAGTTACACATATCTTTATAAGTTTATGATGGACCATTTGTGTTTTTTCTTTTGTGAGTTCATATACTCTGTATATGTTATGGATGTTAATATTGTAAATACCCCAGACCAACATTTATCTTTTACCTTCATTTAGTCTCCATAAAGTTTTATGATTTCAGGTATTTTTAAAAATTCCTGTCTTCCTATTTTAGATTTTGTATCATACATAAGCAGATTGTACAGATACTCTTGTATTTTAGTATTCTTTTTGTTTTCTGTTTAGCTGTTCCATTTATCTGGTGTTTCCTCATGTATTATGGTGTGGGGCACAAGTTCTGTAAACCCGTTTCTGACTAGGTTCTTCCATTTGTTGGAAATACGTCTTTATCATGGACTGAATTCCCTCAGCCATCATTGTGTGCAGGCTTCCCCCTTGGCCCCTCCTGCTCCCTTGATCTCTGTCTCTGAGTAAACCCCATATTGCTGTACTTAAACTAGTTTTTTAACAAATCTGGATAAATGGTAGCTCCTCTCACTATTAAAAAATGTATATTAGCTGTTACAAACCACCTAGTTTGCCAGATGAACACTTACCCTCAGCTTGTCAGGGTTCATTGAGAAAATCGTGTTAGAATATGTATTACATTTGATTTGGTTTAGAAATTCCTTCATGCACAATTGGTCTGTCTGGTCAAGTTTTGGCACAAGGGCACAAAAAGGGATTTGCTTGCCTCACTGCTGTGTCCAGCCACGCGAGGATTATCTCATGGCTGCGTTACTGCTTAGGTTAATCCTCCCTATAGGCTTGCAGCCTCATTCCAGATGAAACTGCCATGCTGCAAAATCCTTTAACGTCCTCAGTATAGTCATTTTAAAGCAAGGGTAAAGGAGGAGGCGATCGTATGCATTTTTTTTATTGCTACTTTTGGGCAGTCACGTGAGTGCATTCACCACAGCCGACACTTCCGAAACTTTGGATGTTCTCCCTCACTTTTGTTCTCTGTGACACTAGGGTCACCTGCTTATGGCAGCATGCAGCTGTGAAACCTGCATCTGACCTCCAACTTTGGTGCCAACCTTCTGTTCACCACAATATAGACTGCAGTCCCCATGACTCTTTTTCTGGACTTCATGTTTCAGCTTGACGGCTCAGCATTAATGCTTTTTGTTTTTCTTTTCCATATTCAAAGTCATTCCTTTCATTCCCTACATTGAAAATCTTGAAAATCTTCCTTCAAACCGTTAGTAATTGCTACTGAACTCGACCTCACCTTGAAGGTCTCCAGCAACACAAGTGTTTTGCACCCACCTACCATGGTTTCTCTTCCCTGTGGTTGCTTCCCTTGATCCAGCCTCCTAATGTCCCTTCCCGTCTTTGTGCCTCTGGCTGTGGCAGGTGTGTGTCTCATCCTCCCTGAAGTTTAAGTCCCATGTCCTGTGGAGGCAAACCTGGCCATGTACTTCTGGACGATCTAGTAGTTTCCTGAATATAGCTGCCATGGGGGCATTGGATGCCTGTGGTTCTGCACATCTTGGGAAAGCTGGCTTGACAGGTGACAGGAGATTCTAGGGTGGTGCCCCAGAGCAAGAGACCATGTGCATGGAGGTTTATTAGGATGCTCTTACAGGCCTGAGGTGACAGGTGCCTGACTCATCTCTGCTGTGTCACACAAAGTCCTTTGTGTGATGTATTCCCTCCATGCCATCCTTTCGCCCCAAAGTAACCTGTGAAAGGTCTCTTTTGTCCCATGCAGTATACTAAGCTGGTAGTAAACCAGAGACCTGACCTAATCCCTGCCACTGTAGACTTTGTAGTCTGATGAATGGCAGCCTCCTACAAAAAGCTACATTGTTGTACCCATGTAAACACAGATAAGTAGAGGTAAGCACTGAGAAGGAAAAGAACATAGTGTAAAGCAGGAGCAGTGGCAAACATCTCAAGATAATGTGATCAGGGGACACTGCAAGGGTGAGATTTAAGCCAATTCCTGAAGAAAAAGAAGTCTGTAGACATGTGAGAGTTGTAAAGACAGCTTGCAGGCATGGAGACACTGTTTGGTGTGACTGAGAATGGAACAAGCTTGGCATATTCAGGGAACAGAAAGACACCCAGTGGGTGGGGAGGGACTAACTGAGGTATATGCAACTTAAGTTTGGCAGAGGACACAGGGCCTCCATTGTAAGGGGAGTTGATTTCCATTGAGCAGGTGTATGTTGTGGCTTTTCACAGCTCATTCTGGGTGCTTGTGAAGAAAGAGCTGTGGTAGGGCACAGATGAAAGCAGACCAATGGGGGCATGGTAATGGAAGAGGTGATACCTGGCCTGAGGGAGTGGTAGCCAGCTTCTCCCCACTCATAGGTGGATTCAGTGGGGCTAGGTGAGTATTGACCAAGGGGCAAAAGAGAGGAAGCTGCCAACAATCCCTCACAGGTGAAGGCTTCCAGGGATTTCCTGTGACCGTTATGTGTGTTTTTACCACATAAATTCTTTTTGTATGTGTCAATATCTTATTTTAAAAATACAATAAGAAAAATTACTACCCCTGAATTTTTGGTGTTAGGCAGTTACATGGAGAAGTCTGGTAAAGGCATCGACTTTTTTTTTTTAAGATTTTTATTGGGGAATTGGGGGAGAGGAACAGACAAGTTGCTGTCCTTTTGTTCTTCAGTCTAGTGGAGCACATCGCTTCACTGGCCCATGTTGGTATTATCATTGCGCTCTTCCTGGGTGAGGCAGATCGGTCATCGGCCACTTAACGGTAACTTTACGGCAGCCCACTGCAGCCTACGCTGTCCCCAGTGACTCACGGCAGCCCAGCTCCAGGTCGAGCTGTTGTTCACCATCTTAGTTGTAGAGGGCGCAGCGTCACTGGCCCTCATGTGGGATCCAAACCAGGGCCCTGCTGCTCAGAGCTGGCGTCCTAAACTAACTCTTAACCAATGTGCCACTCAGCCAGCCCAAGGCATAAATTTTTGAAGGGTGGAAATAAAGGTTTTATTTTACTTGTTACATTGAAATAATTTTAAGCAAAGAGTTACATGAATAGTACAAAGAACTTAATAAATTCCACCTAGATTCACGAGCTTGGAACTGTCCCATGTCCTGACCTGTTCTGTTAATGAGAAATGAGAGGGGACTTAGGAATACCCGAGCAGAGACTTGTGGAGCCAGCCAAATGCACTTGCCTGGACCTCAGCATTCATAGGCATTTAGAATGGTATGCTTGAGTGTCGCATGAGACAGCTGTCTCCTACAGTGGTCTCTCTTCCCACACTGGTGTGGCTGTGCCTCTGCTTCAGGCAGAGAGCTGGGGCTGAATGGAAAGCAGGGTGTTTCTGACGCAACTCAGTTTGCATGCTTCTCTGGCTCCCCATGATAGTGACAGCAACAGCATTAGCATTGGCTGAAGTAGAAGGGAAACTAGGTAAACGCTTCAGACAGATGGCATTCATCTTCAAGAAGGCATTGATTTGGAAGGATTCTGCGAAGATAAGGAATGTTGAGAAATATTTGACAGCACTCAAATCTTCAGCCATCAGTGTTCTTTCAAGAAAGTACTTCCATACGTGTGGTTCAGGTAGAAAACTTGAGACATAATCTATTTAATTATTAGGATAGCGATGGTGTCCTAATAGTGGTGACACTATTTTGAAGGTCATGATTGTAGGAAAGCCTGTCAAGAAATTAAGCAGGAGAACTTCTCTGCCAGCACCTTTCTTCTTGAATAAACTTTCTAACTTCTAAAAAAAAGGGGTGAGGGGCAGGAAATGAGCCCAACAACTATGAATGAATATGGCAATTTTCAAAGTAGTACCAAAATTAGTAGAAAAAAAATAACATACAAGAAGGAGATCGTTCTGTTGGGAGGGAGAGAAGGAAATCCCTCTCTATATTCCATCCTTTACATAGCCTAAGAGGACTCACATGGGTAATAGGAAAGCAAACATGGGGAATAGGAAATCAATTGATTTGTACAATATATAGTTCGTTCATTCAAAAACAAGACTGAATGAGTCTTTTTAGTGTGAAATCCTGTTTTCAGCTCAGCTTGGCCCTCTTTAAGTAAGAGGGCTCACACAGGAGACTAACATGCAAAAATCCTGAATGAATGAAGTCCTTTTTGTGAGTGTTTCAACATGAGAACTCAAAACAGTGATGAAATTCCAGGAATCTGATCATAGCAGGAAAGGCTTCTAGCCTGATTCAGTCTGACTTGAGAGAATTCATACTGGATCAAAAAAGTTCCAGTTGTTGAATTTGGAAAAGTTCTTACACCAAATTATCATGTGAGAATTCTGAAACCATGGGAATGTGATTGCCATGGAAAGGTTTCATGTATAGCTGTCTTACTCAGCATCACAAG